AAATGAACATGCCCCAGCTTTAATCCATTATTCATATTCACTCAGGTACCTTGATACAGTCTGTGAATGTAACGTTCCATTGTGGTCCTGGCTAACATCAACACCCCTGGAAGAAGAAATAGTAACCTGTTCGGATCGGACTAATGTTCAGCTGTCAAGTCTTCAACCAAGCGATTTTGAAAATTGTATCTGCATGTATTTTTATTAATTTAAAAACATAAAAATTACTTTTATTATATAGATGACATTTATCACATTATGCATTTATCTGCGTAATTTAAAACCTATAGCTAATATGGAACATTCTATGTAGAGAATAAGTATAAGGTATTTCAATAAGGAGATGTGGTATGATTGCCAATGAAACAGCTTCCCGAATAAAGCGGATTTCTCAAAACCCATCTTTGTTTGATATACTATATTATTTGTCGATACTTTAGCTCAGAAAAATGGGATAGTTTCTCAATTTCGGACAACTCTGCTCATATTAAATTGGGGATTAACCGCGCTGAGGTACTTCAAACAACCAATGACCTATCATGCGTCATTTTTTTTATACAAAAATAGAGATATGTTAGCAATCTTGATTGTAAAAAAAATACATTTCTACTAATTATATACCAATATTTTTTAGACTGAGTTTCTGATTTCTAATACCGTTACATATTTTTAATATGACGATAGTTAATACAATTTTGATTAATGTAAACAATACTAAATTGCAATGTCAATCATCATAATATAAACATACTACTGATTATTTATACCGATACATTATTTTCAGTGAAAAGCACTCTAAATTAAAACCGACAATAAAATTAGTATCTGTTTTCATATACCGCTAACATTGGTGCCAAAAGTACTTCTTTTCATTCGAAAGCATGCAGCAGTGTTATAATTCAATAATCTTGGTTTCCCAGGATGCATTGTAATAAAAAAAAGATATTTGATGGCACCAACCGTGGTCTTTCTGTTTCTCTATATGCAAAAATCCTGGAGCGCCTTTTTAAATCGGTATATTTGATATTTGGAAGTGTATTTTCAGCAATATCAATAAAAGATTGCTTAATATTTTTTTTCGGGTATAAATAAGCACAACAAAATGCTTTCCGATATTTGACAAAACTAAAGCAGCAGTTTTAACATATCGTCCAAATGCAACAATGCCATATTAATTCTTAATTACAAATTCATTAATCCACGAACTTTCCTAGTCCTCCCACTAGCTACAAATCCTATGAATATTCTTTTCATTAGTCTTTAGAACTTTGATACAGTCGAAGCCGTCGAGGTCAACTAGTTAAACTGTTAAAATGTTCGCTCTCGTAAAAACATTCATATGACATTTCTTACTTGCCGTTTGGGGCATTTTTTGAGTATCTTTCTTTTATCTTCAACACAATGATCACACCACCGACCTACTTAAATCGTTAACACATTGGAGGCAAAAAGTAAAATAACAAAAGTACTAAACTCCAAGGAAAGTTCAAAACGGAAATTTCCTTATCAATGGCAGAATCAAAAGCTCAAACACATCAAACGAATGGAAAACAACTGTCGATCTGAACATGATCATTTTGTAATATATCATGTGTATTTTCAACTTAAAACCTTTGTTACTGAACGTCCCTTATGTTTCTGTCATAAATTCAAAATAATAAAGTGTTGGATCTAGAATTTTTTTTTGTGATGGCAGCAGACCTATTAATCATCGGAAAGAACTTTAAATCCGGTCAGTTTCGAACATTAAAAAAAAGAGATTTATAGAAATAATCTAGATTGACCCCATGTAATCAGAATTTTGTTTATAAAGAAAACATTGTCATAGCACACTAGATAATTAATATTGACATTATTGTAAATATTATAGATTCAACATCTCAATTGGCGGTTTCACAGCAAGAATCTACAACCTCTGGAGTTACAACAGAATTAACCCCATGTAAATATTGACGATACATTTTTATCACTAGTAAATGGTCATGATTTTTTGTGCAATTCTAAAAGATGCTAAGTATAATTTGTACACATTTAACTAACTGTCTTTTAGACCTTAATCCATATTATGTTGCTATTGTCAAAAATCTGTCGATTTCTCAAGTTTTTGCGCAAATAGCCAACACAGATAAACAACAGCCTTCAAAACACTGAAAAAACAAAAACAGATTCAGCAGCACGAATTCAACCAACAACTTACTTTGAAATATGGAAATCTGGAAGGGTCAGAAGTCAGATTCTGTTCTTCAAGGGCTACTGATCTCGTGTTTTATGTATAAATACATGTTCGTCTAAGAATGAGCGAAACCCAAGTTCCAAAAGTTGACCAAACAGCATAAGCTAAATTTGTGCAAACCTAATTCGGTAATGAAAATTGTGTTTTCATCTTAATTTCTAAGGCAAATCACCCTTGCGCTTGAATATATGCAAGTTCATATCCAAAAAATCATTTTCATACATATATAGTTGTTTGTTTTTCACCAAAATGTCGTTCATTTAGATTTAACTGGGTGTCATTGGTTCCAGGTGAAAGTACTTTCAGGTAATTTTTTATTTGTTGTTGTGTTGTCAACACTGATCGTCTGTTCAGTATGACATACAGAAATTGCTGAGGACCATTGACGAACTATTCGCTTACGAAGGCCAAGTGATTGAAATGTATCCCATGTACTTTGCCAAATAAGCTTAAATTTCAAATAATAACCCAGACGTATATGCAACAATTTGAGAATCGTTTAAATTCTTTTGAAATTTTGATACATTGTAGCCTTTGTCGAAAGACACATGAAGATATATATTGATTGTTCATTTAGTTTCAAGCAGAACTTATTGTCGTTTATTGAAAAATACTGCATTTGTATGGAAAATCAGATCAACTGTTAATTTGACAGTCATTAAGTCATGCTAAATTACTGAAATCTTCACAATTTTCGCTTTTGAGTTAATTTTTAAACGGTTTCCGTCTTAAATGGACGTGGCCGCATGTGTGTGCATTCCTAATATTTAAATGTAAGTTGTATTTGATGATAATACATAACATATTTAAAGGTTGAGGATGAACACGGATGCGGCCACCTTCATTTTTGACAAAAAAACATCTGAAAAGTGACATATTATGGCATATTTGACAGATTTTTTGATATTTCAGCTTGAGTTTGAGCGTTTTTAATTACTAAATCAGTTCAAATCTTTCACATAGATTAATTGAATGTACTAAAGTAGCCACTTAAGTGTTTAAAAAGTGTCCAAAATCTTTCTTCAGATGAACCTGAAATTTGGGGCCAAAATCGGCCCTTACCGGACCTAATCCTTTATTGTTTTGATAGTATATAAAATGTCTTGTTGCTAAATTTGTCTTCTTGTCGCTAATTAGTGAGACAGCTTACCGTGACGGAGGAGGCATTAGGTTGGTATCGGGTCCGTTTACTCCCAAAACACATTCGTATCCTATACGTTTGCACCGAACACGTTCGCCCCCAGGTTCGTTCGCATCCTATACATTCAAACCCTATTTTTATTCAAATACATGAAAGATAATTGTTTTAACAGCGTGATCCCTTATGTTCGTATGTATTTGGACACGTATGATACACAACAACGCCAAACATGGTAGAGGGTCTCGAAATTTCAAATCAGCAGAAACATAAGAAATGATCAGATTTTGTTATATTGTATTTCTATCTAAAATTTCATATTTAAAAAAATACTTTCCTCAAAGTTATCGTTGACTCCCTAACAAAATTTTGGTAACTGATTTTGCGTGTTTAAACTAGGTATACTTACGTAAATAATAATAGAAACACAAGTTACTGATTCTTCAGCGTAAACTATCGAACAAACATTGCAGCAAATTTTTTTCTATCTTAAGTTTGATGTGTATGAATTTGTCAAAATGTTAAAATTTCTAATTGGTGCAAGAATGGTGCAGTGGTCAAAATGTAGGAAAATCATCCAAATTTTTTTTAGCTTATTTTCACGATTATGACGTTATTTGCACCAACCATTGTGACGTCATGAAACCTTTTTTTCTTAGATAGAAATTCAGTCTTTTTAAATCATTGACTCATATTCTAATAATTTATGGAAAAAAATCGGCTCGATTTAAACTTTTATTATTTTTCAAATCGGGGGCTATTCTAGGTCATTATAACCCCTAATCCTTTGATTTCTTTTTGTTTCTCTCACTTTTGTGGCTATTCTAGTTGTTATGCACACGCTGTCTTCCCTTTTCATTATAACTGGCCACCAAGATAACTGAATGATGAAAAAAGAAACATTCAACAGCATATAACCTTATGATACAATATCTACATTGTAATGTTACATACATCTAGGGCAATGTTTGAAGCTTAAGCTAACAAGGCGAAAGTCCATGTGGCCATTTACCATCACTTAGCCTATGTTAAGATACAGTTTTAGTCATAATCACATAAAACTACTGATAAGAAATTGTGCACCGATTGGCTTTCACATCATATTGCTATTACTTTGAAGTGTACATAAAAATTATATTAGCTGAATATAATGACTATACACATTCACAAGTGTGCAAATAACGAAAATGACTCTTTCTCTTCTAGTTTAGTTTGAACATATTCTATTGTTCAAAAAGGACAAATGAATTAGACACAAGTTTTTAGTTTTACCTCTGAACTAGCTCTTTTAAGGAGCCTACACGAACCTTAAATTTTCCTTCTTTTAACCTTAGAAATTAAGATAAAAAAATAGTTTTGAATACCATGTTAACATTAACACATGTAAATTATGCAATGAAATAAGTTGTAATCCGTTGTTTATTAATGAATGTATGTCCGATTCTTATACGGACCTTTACTTAATTATGTATCTATGAATATTTAAATATTAAAGGCGAAAATTGAATATATTCAAAAACTGTCAAGGAGTTTTTAACGAAATATGAACTGAAAACTGAATCTTTGGCTTTCAAATTATTTCATTTAACGGTCTTTGTGAAGATTTTGATTTGGTGGTTTCAACAAGTTGGAGTTACCAAAGAAAAAACAACAAGTAAATAAAAATGCTATATTATGGTATGACTATGGCTGTGTGTTTACGGAGTGTATTCTTACACAATGTATTCAACAACTACCAGTTGTCTTCATACCTTTAACCTGATTTTAGAAAGTTTGCTTAGAAATTTCCTTATAAATATCTAATGACATACTTTACGACTATCATAGGAATATCCAAAGATACGCCGTTAACTGCAAAATCGTCGGTACCAAGTCATGATGATGACAGCTGGAATCAGCGCCTGGAATCGGAATTGTGTGTTTTTTTATCACATAATGTCTTGAATTTCCTTGCGCTGAATATAAAACGACCACATTGTTTATTTTTCTAATTAATTTTTTTTTCAATACAACTCGTACTTAGAAAAAGTCATCCCTCTTAAGAAAACAGAAAAAAAGACATGCATTAGAATGTTCTTGATTAAGAATATTTCATTTTTTGTTTTGAATGAATATGATTTATTATTTTTCATAACGTCATTAGCCTTTTTTATATGACACATTTGTCAATTGTTAAATGAAGATGCAGATGGGGACAATACTAGTAAACATCTCTACTGTTAATTCGCTGCAACATCTTTTGACCGAGACAACAATTTCATTATTCAATAATCACTCAGTAAATTATTTTATTAAAAAATGCAACCTAACGTCTTTCTTTGTGTCGATTTATTCTCATATGTTTTACATGATTCTTTCCGATTGTGAATAGGGTTTAGAAATTTTACTTGTAATGCGAAAATGTATCGCTCTAATCTTTATATGATTTTTTATTTCATTATTGCAGATACTGTCCTATTCGGTTTAGTTTCTGGAATTGTAGGATTGTTAATTATAATTGCAGCTGTTATTTTGTTTATACAGTAGGTGCTTATTAATAATAGTCTATAGATTGCATTTCTGTAAATATAGACAATGCAATTTCCCATAGGATCTCCCTTTGCGCTCAAACTGTGACAATTTTACTATGAAGTTTCGTGAAAAATTATATCCTAGAATGAAAAGTTGATATGCACTTCTATTTTATTCAAAGGTTAAAACATAGGGCTATGCTGCATATTTTCAACATTTATATGGCCCGAACTTGTTCGAGTTTAAACTTATACTAAAATTCCGAACTACACATACCTTTATTTTTTGCCTACTTCAAAATTCAAGTTTTGCAAGTGAATAGACGGTATAAAATGGTTGTCATTTATCAATAATTGAACAAAAGTGAAGATGAATAATAAACATTCGATAAAAAACGGAAGAATATTTTTTTAAGGAACAAAAAAATCAATCCATCAAAAAAAGGATAACACCATGGATAAAACAGAAGTAAAACGAGAATACAGCTAACAACTTTTAAAACATTACAGACAAAACAAAACGTAAGGCATCACAAACTTAACCAAAAAGCCGTGTTTAACCAATCTTCTCTGGAAGAGTATGTATTCCCTATTCCAATGTTGATATCTCGTGTTGTTCAATGTATCTGTGAATTGTGTATGTATAAATGGATAATAAATTGATATGAGGTAAAGGGGAGATACTAACGCGCAATAAACAACATGTCAAACAAACCTTTGATAACGTAAAATTACCTTTCCGGAACACTTGAGATCACCCTCAGTTTTTGTTGCTGTATGTATTGCTCAGTCTTTAGTTTCTATGTTGTGTTTTGTGTACTATTGTTTGTTTTTTGGTCGTTTTTTTTTCTTTTTTATCCATGGTGCCGTCAGTTTTTTTTTACTTATGAGTTTGAATGTCCTTTTGGTATCTTCCGCCTCTCTTGTTTATTTTGTATATTCACTTAAGTAGGTGTATATTTCATCTGATCATAAGCTTGATGTGTTAATTTTCTTCATTCGTTAATTATTTTTCTCGACTGATCAGTTATTGTTAAATAGCATGTATAATTAAAGGGTGCCGCTTTGTTGATGTAGCCAAACGCACCAGTGTCAGCTATTGTAATCGCTTTTTTGTCTCCACTGTCGATCGTTGTTCATCGTCTATCTGAATCCGTTAACGTTTGCAAAGATATTTCCTCTGAAACTTCAAGTGACGGCACCAAAATCTGATCATAACTATCCTTAATGCATCTTGTTTAGAAATTGTGCCAAATCAAAATGGAAGGCAACCAATATCGTGTCCGAGGATAAAAGTAGTGATATCATAGGGTAAACTGCAAATAGTATATTTTTATCGAAAACTCGGTTTTGCATTTATAGCAATTATATAAAAGAAATATATTCATTTCAAAATCTATTATTAAGAAGAGATCTACAATTACACCTAAGCAAAATGGAATGAGTTATTATCTGTAAAAGACTAGATTTTGGACAACAAAATTTCCTTCAGATCCAATATTATTTTTGCATGGTATTATATATTTTTTTATGATTTTATTATTAGTTTTAAGTTGATGTCGGCTGTGGTTTATCTGTTTGCTTGTGTGTAGCTAGCAATGTTATCAAATTTCGTATGCAAAAGATGAATTTGATTGTTCAATCATCAAAGACTAAATAATGTTTCAACATATATCAGATGTAAACGTAATTCCCATATGTGTTTAGGAAAATACGTTAAATGTTAATTTCATGATAAAGAATTACAATTAGCAATTTTGTTTTGACAGGCGAAGATCAATGTTGAAGAATTGCAGAGACCATTCAAAACAACGAGATTTAGCAGTGTATGAAAATGAAATCCGATTGCCGAATACAGTCTACCAGGATCTGACTCTTGTCCGAGAAGACAATCATTCACCATATGATGTCGTACATTAGTCCAGTGCGTAGTAGTGATCAACAGTCAAGCCACAATTTTATTTTCATTAAACATTACTCAAACGTAAATGTGGACTTCATACTTAAAGGACGGAAGGATAAACATGTTCTGTCCACTCGGCCGTCTGCACCCTGCAAATTGTGTCGCACTTTCCAATGACCTACAAACCAGAACCTCCGGTAGCTTCATATCAGACTTCATTTGTGCATGGTTCGGTGTCTTTCCATAATCATCATTCAACAACTTTCTGTTAACCGTAACTGAATATTTATATAATGCCTATCTATGAAATAATCGTCTAAGAATCGTTATCTACAAATCATGCTATCCCGAGGACTGCGTTCTCATATCCACTGTTCGTCAACTTACTGTTTACCGTATACTTATAGATGGTATCAATTGTCAGCGTTAGGTTAACGTTCATCTTGCTCTTTCAAAATTACAATCGGAACTCTTATATACATTATATACTTAGATAGGAGTTATTTTCTTTCAGAACGATAGGTCATTCTTTCGAAGAATCAACCTGGACGATACCATGTTTCAATGAAATATGCTTCAAGGCATAAAATAATGACCAATGACCTGTGTGATGTCATTATTTTCTTTGATAAAAATGCAAACTTTAATTTACTTCAACATTTAAATGGTATGATAGTTTGTTGTTGCCAATTGGCGAATTTATTTTTTAAAGTTCCATCTTTGATAGATTTAACAAAAAATCGTCATTGACGCGCATTTAAACTTTAAAAACAAATAATGTGAAGTTTTGCTAATTTATCGCTACAGTAAAAGTATATTATCATATATGTGAGATGAAAATCTTATAAATGCACAATGAATAGTAAATTATACTGTGACCTACATGCATTGATATTCGTTTTCGTGGACACGCCACTGCAAATAGAAAAAAACCATAGCAACCCCTTCAATAAACTAAGTTGGTACAACAAATTATACTTACAAAGTGACTTGTATTTTGCATTCACCGTTATCGGGTGGTAACAATTCATGATCATTTGTGTCTTTCTTCATGCAGTTACAGTAATAACTTTATTGTGTCTTAATAATGATTTCAAACGTTTATATCTAGATAATTAGTGAGCTTTATTTCACTTTCGAAATGAGCCGTAGGGCGTATCAAAACCTGAACGGATCAGAAAGGAATATCCCACTTTCGTGTGGTCGGTAAAATAGGACGCTTATTCTGCAAATCTTTGCAAAAAATGATATTTTTTTGACGGTATATAAGTCAGATAATGCATATTATAAGGTTTTTCTTGTCGTAGAACACACCTCGGGGTGTCAGGATTGCCCAAAGAAAGACATCCTTACGGTCGGTCTTTCGTTTGATCAATCCTGACACCCCTCGGTGTGTTCTACGACAAGAAAAACCTTAAAATATGCATTATCTATAACTTAAACAAATAACAGCAATTTATTCTGCACAGAGGCGCGAAAATGTAGTTGAGGAAACGTGGCATAAAAAAATCTCCATTACAGCATTGTTCGAAATAATTACTCGCGATTTTATTCATTACAGTTAAAGGACTAGATCTTTATAGAAATATAGAAAAGTGAAATTCATAATCATCTCGACTCGACGAAGTCGCAAATGCGGGACTTATGCCTACTTTTACCGGTGGGAATGTATTCAACAATGTATTCTGTTTAAATAGAACCTCTAGTGGTAGACATCTTAAATTGTATAATCATCGACACTACTCATTTTCATGGAGATTATTTGGCCCAACCCCCTAAGTTTAGGTCTATTGACTTTGAAACGTTTGCTTAGTTTAGTAGATGAAGTTTGTGATTCGGTCAGTTGACCAGAACCATTCAGATAAGTTAATGGTCATTGGTATGCTTTTATATTAGCATTAGTCCTGCATCTTCATGGTTCATTGACTTTGAATCTTCTGCAAAGCTCAAATTTTGATATTGCCATTTTAATTTTCACCTTAGCATTTTACTTTCAAAATAACATAAAAGTGATACATACCTCTGTGTCCACAGTTTATTTTAATATAGATAATGAGTTTGTGTAAATGGTTATCATAGAATATACCGATGTAAACTATATTTCAAGAGACAAAGAGGCTGTGATATGTCTATCATCTCTTCACGATAAATATGTTGTTGTTCCTGCGGACGAAGCTTAAAATAATATTGTCTTTGTATATAAATCGTACTACATCGAGTGTCTTGTAAAAGAATAAGGAATAAATGAGCACTCAGGTAATCCCACATATAAAGACATATCATTTGACAAGGATGAGATTTTGACGAATCATATGTCCTTCATGGCTTCAATGAACAATACATTGTACAACAAATCAGAGGACTAACCTTTTTTGTATTGGATACCTAAGCTTCACAAAATTCCATACAAACAACGGTACATTGTCGGCTCATCTGCATGTTCGACTAAAGAATTGTCCATTAGATTGACAAAAATTCTATCCGCAGTAAAAGAGATATTAGAAATATTGTGAAACTGTGTACTCGCGAAGTGGTATTAACCATATGTGGATTCTAAAACACTCTAAAGAACTTCTGGATAATTTTAAATCTCGATCTTTTTCTGAAATTGGTTCTATCAAAACGTTTAATTTTTCAACCCTGTATACCTCCGTTCCCCATGAAAATTTGAAAAATCGTCTAAAAGAAATAATCCACAATGCTTTTCAAAATAAAAATGGTAGCATATGCTATTAATTTATTACTTTAGGATACCATACGTCATTTTTCGTTGATAGTGAACAAAAAGGTAAAACATGCTACACGGAGGAACAAGTGATCAGTATGCTAGAGTTTCTTATTGACAACATATTTGTTGAATTTTGAGGTAGAATTTTTCAACAAATTGTCTGCATTGTACATTCTACAAATTGTATGGGAACAAACTGTGCGCATCTCCTTGCCGACCTCTTTTCATTTTCATATGAGTCGGAGTTCCTTCAGACACTTGTCAAAAACAAGAAGATCAAAGAAGCCAGGTCATTTAATTTCACATTCAGATATATTGATGATGTTCTTTCCATTAACAATCCACACTTTTCTTATTGGGTTCCATTAATATATCCCCCAGAACTAGAAATTAAAGAAACAACAGACCCGGCTTCCTCCGCCTCATTCTTAGATTTATACCTCGAATTTGACATACACGATCATCTCAGTACCAGAATCTATGACAAAAGAGACGATTTTAATTTTGAAATTATCAATTTCCTCCACCTTAGTAGCAATATACCAACTTCACCTGCATATGGGATATACATTTCCAAATTTATTCGGTATTCAAGAGCTTGAAGCTGCTACTTAGACTTTGTAAAACGTCATCAGTGTCTCAGCAGAAAGTTGAGGAACCAGGGGTATATCAAAGAACGGCTCGTCCTTTTTCTAAAAAAAGTTCATCGGAAGTTACCAAAAAGTAAAATCACAAAAATACTGAACTCCGAGGAAAATTCAAAACGGGTACCATGACCTTGTTGATAAATATTCCGTATCAACTTCACAAATATTACACGATGGTCTTGAAGTATAGACTATAGGTACTGACGTTGTATATACTCTTAATAACGTGTTATAGTATTCTTTTATTTGTCTTTTTGAATATTAATTTTACTGTTTAGTGTATTTTTTGTGATATCCATTTGACGTGGCTCGGTACTTGTAAATCCGGTCATTGTGTTATTGTGCTATTGTAATATTTTGTATCTTTGTCTTTCATTTTTGCTTATGTGCTATGTCTATATGCCCTTTTGTGTTTCTTTGTTACATATTTGTTTGTTTTTATAGTGATTAAGATTATAACACAATGTTGACTGTTGTACCCCTGTTTTGACATTTTTACCTAGTATTATGTCTGTTTGTTTTGTTCGCACATCGTTGTCAATATAATGGAATTTTATGTAACTGTCATATAAGTGAGAGGTTTAGCTAGCTTTAAAACCAGGTTTAATCCACCATTTTCTACATAAGAAAATGCCAATACCAAGTTAGGAATATGGCAGTTTTTATCCATTCGTTTGATGTATTTGAGCTTGTGATTTTGCCATTTTATAAGGGACTCTCCGTTCTGAATTTTCCTTGAAATACGTTTTTTTTTGTGATTTTATTTTTTCTATATGAACACAGAATAAATTGTGTTGGTCGAAAGTCAAAATATTGTGCATTTGTGGAGCACACTATTCATATATCGGTATACATATATTTGGTTATGTGAAAGTCAAATTATTGTGCATTTGCGGAGCAAAATATTAGTATTAATATATTTGGGTTGTGTGTAATGGAATTTTCTTAATTCGACGCTTGAATAAAACTGTATGATTCAGGAACCGTTCACAAAAGTTAGTTGTCATCTTTGTAGTGAAAAAAAAATAAAGATGAAAGACTTCAACAAAGGGACCAATTATGTTTTAATTTTCTATAATCGTAATCTTGCATGTTCTAAAGTTCAAGTGTGAAATAATCCAATCTGCCATTTTCCTCTGTCATCAATTACCCAATTGTACGAATGATTAAACAAATATTCATCGAAGAGTGCACATATTTGAAATGGGATAATTTAAAGCAATATAGAATATTTAAATGTATAGAATAGGTCTAACAACAGCAAAATTAAAATGTAATTATTTCAATATTGCATTTTCTTCAAAATTTAACATTGGCATCTTGTACTACATGTACCAGCAGTATATGGAAAGGAATATCCGCCATAATTATTCATTTCTTTATTTGTAAAATGCAATTTCTTAATTTGTAATATCTAGTTTCTTAATTGTTAACATGTATTGTTTCCATCCATTATATGAATTTCAACAATTCTCGATTTGTGAAATGTAACTTCTTAATGTGTTAATTCAATTTCTTAATTTGCAAATGTTTTTCTTCCTTTGTTACAAAAATTCTACATTTCTTAATTTGTGAAATGTAATTTCTTTATTAGAGTCACGTTTTTGGAGAATAACAGCTGGCAGCCAATGGGTCGTTCTGTTTTTCAAGAAAAGCTACAAGTAACAAATCAACACATTACAAAGCAAGAAGTTTTACAAATCAAGAAGTTTTACAAATCAAAAATGAAATAGTTCTACAATATTCTTCACGAGGTCGCTTTGCATCCATGTCAACTCGTACCTTGGCAAACACGTTCTCCATATCTACCAACTCGTAATTTTACCAACTCGTACCCAATATTTTATTATTTATACGCATTTAAGTTTTCTTGTTCTTTTATATAATATAAAAAATTCAATAAAGTACAACTTCTAATGCAATTTGTTTTCAAATTAGAAATATCTTAAAGTTAATTAATCATCTTTAGAAGTAATATTATTGGTTCAAAAAAACAGAGACTTTATTCAACTGGGAACAGTTTAGATATCAATATTTCAGATGAACAAATAGAGAATGTAGATTGCGAAAAATTGCTTGGTTTATATATCGACAAAAACCTAAATTGGAATCAGCAAATAGATAAAATGTCATGTACAATATCAAATAGAATCAACTTATTACAAAAGACAAAACAAAAATATACCTATGCATATACGTATTATTTATTTTAATGCTTATGTTGTGCCATTGTTTGATTATTGTTGCAATACATGGGGTAGTTGTTATGAAAGTGGAATAAATAAACTTAATAAGTTATTAAAGAAATCTGCTAGGGTTATAATAGAAACTGACATAATGGCATCCCAAAGTTTGTTGTTTAATAGTTTAATCTGGTTAAATGTGGAAAAACGAATTCAATATCAAAAGGCAATACTTGTATTTAAATGATTAAAGGATATGGTTCCTAACTATTTACAAGAAAA